AGAGGCGTGCACAGGGTGAGAGGCGTGCACAGGGTGAGAGGCGTGCAACAACACCAGAAGTTTCAAATCAAAAACAACTTCCTGTTGGTTTAAAAACTGACAGGAAGAACTACTTTCTGCGGCGGATTAGTCCATTTGATGTTCCTCTGGGTCAGCAGAGCTCCGGCTGGTTTGAGTCAGAGCTGCTTCAGATTCACTGACAGGAAGTAAAAACCTGGAAATCAACAGAACTCCAGTTCACTCCTGCTGAAGAGTGAACTGGTGTTAAACCTGGAGACCACCAGCAGGAGGTGCCACTCCTCTGATGGACCAGGAGACCACCTGCAGGAGGTGCTGCTCCTCTGGTGGACCAGGAGACCACCTGCAGGAGGTGCTGCTCCTCTGGTGGACCAGGAGACCACCTGCAGGAGGTGCTGCTCCTCTGGTGGACCAGGAGACCACCTGCAGGAGGTGCTGCTCCCCTGCTGGACCAGGAGACCACCAGCAGGAGGTGCTGCTTCTCTGGGGGACCAGGAGACCACCTGGACTGAGTCTATTCAGAACACATGTCCATGTCTTACGTTACAGCTGATAAAACACACGTCGTGTTTTAGAAGAAAACAGAACCTCCTCCACCTTCGGTCAAACTGGTCCCAACATCTCAACTGGAGCTGGACTTCACATCAGCAGAACCAAAGACTGTCCCAGACCCGTGCAGGTTCTGGTCCGTCAGGACTGTTCTCTTTGCTTCTTCACAGAGTTGTGTCTGTAGGAGTCCCATAAGTTGGACCTCAGAGAGGTCTGGACTTTCCTCATGTCCTGTCTGAAGGTCTTGGTGGCGTAGTAGTACAGCAGCGGGTTGAGCATGCTGTTGCACGCTGCCAGGCACAGCGTCACCGACACGGCCCGCTGCAGCAGCCGCATGACATCGCAGCTCCATTTGCTGATCACGGCGTGCAGGTGCAGCGTTCGGATCAGGTGGTAGGGCAGGAAACACAGCAGGAAGGTGGCGATCACCATGGTGACCAGGTATACCGAGTGCCTCCTGCTGTGCCTGGTCCTCAGGTTGCCCAGGCGGAGGTCTTTGGGGGCCACCAGGTGCTGAATGACTCTGCTGTAGCAAAGGATGATGATGAAGAAAGGTATGAGGAAGCCCAGAACCAAACCGAAGTAGTTCAGAATGAGGATCTTTGTCCACGAGGTCAGGGTTCCCGGCTCGAAGCAACGGCGGATTCCGTTCCTAAGAGGAGACAGAGAAACATTACGTTCTCAAATGATCACAGAGAGATCTAAATCTTGTTCTGAAGTTTGGGAGGAATGGAGCTTCCTCTTCTTTAAAGCAGCAGAAGTAAAGTACAGGACCAGGTTCTTGTCTAGGTTCATTCAACACTTGCTCTTGTCAAGGGCGGACGTCTCCTCCTCTCCCTCTCCACTTTGCTTTGCTCTGTCCCGTCTGTTAAACTGCTTTAGAGCCTCTCTTCTACAAATCTTCTGAACCAGAACTATGGACTTGGATTTGGTCAGTTGGTCCCTCAGCACAATTGAGAACATTTTTTTGAAGAGAAGACAGGCTGTAGGAGACGATTTGCCCTGTTGGCATGCAGCTGGATATCTCATCGACTTGAAGACTTGATGATGTGTCTATCTCTGCTGTCATCTGTGGATTTTAAGGACACATTTATAATTGGATTAATGAAAACTGGTTCATGCTTTTTGGATCTGACTAGTTCCTGGTTGATCTACAATCAAGGAAGTCGTCAGGAACAAATGGACCTGGTCACGCTGCTTTCCTTGTGATGGCTGGTTCGTGCCTCGAGTACCCAGACTCAAATGCTTTTGGCAGGATGGATCAGATTTCTACCTTAAAGTGTTTTTTGTCTTTCCTCCTATAGAAAGTTCACCTGGACTATAGAAAGTTCACTTGGAACATAGAAAGTTCACATGGACGATAGAAAGTTCACCTGGATGATAGAAAGTACACCTGGAATATAGAAACCACACCTGGACTATATAAAGTTCACCTGGACTATATAAAGTACAGCTGGACTATAGAAAGTTCACCTGGACTAAAGAAACCACACCTGAACTATATAAAGTACACCTGGACTATATAAAGTTCACCTGGACTATATAAAGTACACCTGGACTATATAAAGTACACCTGGACTATATAAAGTTCACCTGGACTATAGAAAGTACACCTGGACTATAGAAAGTACACCTGGACTATATAAAGTTCACCAGGACTATAGAAACCTCACCTGGACTATATAAAGTTCACCTGGACTATAGAAAGTTCACCTGGACTATAGAAAGTACA